CCTTGCCTTCCATTCCCTTCCTTTCCCTTGCCTTCCATTCCCTTCCTTTCCCTTGCCGTCCATTCCCTTCCTTTCCCTTCCCTTCCATTCCCTTCCTTTCCCTTGCCTTCCCTTCCATTCCATTCCTTTCCCTTGCCTTCCATTCCTTTCCCTTGCCTTCCCTTCCTTTCCCTTGCCTTCCCTTCCATTCCCTTCCTTTCCCTTGCCTTCCTTCTTTTCCTTTTCTTTCCTTTCCTTTCCTTTGTGAGTGGCCTCAAGGTGAAAGCTAGGTTAAGCTACTATAGGGTTAGTTCTATACAAAGAGAATCAAACAACAAACCTTGGGATGTTTTCCTGTGATTTACAAGCCAAGAGAGCAGCAGATGAAGACAAAGCTGCCATGGTATGGTTGAGGTGGTTTGTCAAGTGTAGAGCATGGTGAGTACTGGTATCATGAAACTCAATTTCAATCGTTGACAAGTCATTTTCTTCAGTATGACATCGAATTATCCCAACTGAATTCCATACCTAGACAAGCATAATCATCCTTCTTGAAAATATTGTACAACACTTCCATTTAAGGTGACATGTTCTCAGTCATTTTTCTTATTTTTAATATTAATTAAGAAAAAAAAGTTCAACAGCCTTAAGCCTCAATGTTTTGGCGATCCATTGCCTTCCTAATGCTCTATCAAATCCTACTGCTACATCCTTTTATAATATTAATAAATTATTAAATTAATATGTTTACCATGAAGCGATGCATCAGATGAATAGGAGTTGATGATGGCTGAAAAGGTTCTTGTAAGTTGGGCATAATGGGAACATGAGTTATAACAGGCTGTAAAAATAGAAAACATTCATGAAATTAAAATATTTGCAAAATCTGAAAGTTTTACTTGGTCAAAGACAATTTCAAATATTTTGACTTAACAAAAATTAAAGAACAGGGATAATAGTTGCAGTATAATACCTTTTTGACTGATATTTCACTTGCTGTGTCAGCATTACCATCATTACTTGCGTCATCAAAGTTCAGTGGTGCTGCAAGTTGTGCTTTGAGCTTCCTTATTTCTACAGATATCAAACAATCAACATTGACATCCAATGGTTGCAAAACTAACACTATTATACTACTAATTTAAGTAATGTCTAAAAAAAAACAAAGGGAAAATGCAAATTTTCAAGGCTATTGTAATAACAATATTTTGTCATTGTTTAATTCATTTGTGTTTTGGTAAGGTTTTTGCGCAAAAGAATCTACTGCCAAATAAAGCAGCGTTTTTTTTTTTCACTATGAATTTGAAACTGGAGCATGTAAGTATGTTTTGCAAATTATGTTTAGTAGCATAATAACCTTTAAATTCATCATCATCATCCTCATCATCATCAGCTTCGTCATCTATCCATGATGATTTCACACGGTGACGTTTTGAGGTAACTAGAGACTCATTATCACTATCATCATTGCCTGCCGCTGCTACTGCCATCATGGCATCATCAATGTCAAAATCATTTGCCTACATGTAAGTAAAGGGGAATCATAAATCTGAATAATACAGTATAATAATTAGAATAATTATTATTCCTTGAAAATGTTACAGTTAATTAATGTCAAAATTCTTTGCCTGCATTAAATAAAAGGGAATCATAAATCTGAATAAAACAGTATAATAATCGGAATAATCATTATTTCTTGAAAATGTTACAGTTAATAATCAACATGTAATGTCCTTTCATTAATTAATAAAGAGAGGAATATACAACTTACCTGAGAAATTAGTGAGGATTTCTTGCTTATAGCGTTTGTTGTGAGATTTTCAACAACACCAAACTGTCCCTAATTGCAGCAAGATCGAGAGTCATCAAATGGGAAATTTAATAGTTTAATAGTTAACTTCAATCTTCTTAGTGTATGGAGTCCTTTAATTTTGACTCGTATTACCATAAATCAATACAGTAGACTATTATGATGACAAGAAGAAATTTAAAACTACATGGATACAAATTATCTATTGCTATAAACCTTACTTATTATTATAAAAAAATGTCCATAGTACTATTACTGTGTTTTTACAAACCTGGTTATCAGTATATGCAATTTCTTTTGTACCAGATGGATTCCATGCCATACCACACAAAGGAGACCTGTTTTCAAGTTGAACTCTGAAGTAACAAAAAAATCATTAGTTTGGACCAAATTGGTCAGCAGGTGTTCTGTGAATGTCCAGATATTATGGAAAATAAGAACTGTACTCATTATCATTTATCAACAAAAGAATAAATGTTTTATCATATAATTATCTAATTATACCTATATTTCTCCATAGATTAATAAGATAAGAACATTTATTCTTTTGTTGATAAATAATTATGGAGAATTTTATATTCTCTTGTTTGATCTTTTCAACACTCAAAAAGATAAAACCCATATCTCCGCGCGCCCATGTAATATCCTCTATTTATTAAAAGATAGTAAGCATTACAGTATATTATGACTTTTAAAGTGTTTCATGGATAATTGCTAATTATAATTATTGAATGTATTCTAAAATGTTGTCAAATATTTTCATGTAAGTGGTAAAATATTGTTTAATAATATTATTATACATACGTACATCTCTAATAATGACTGTTTTGCTATGCTCCAAGTCACTATCTGTCCATCATTACTAGCAGATGCTAGATATGAGCCACAGGGTGACCAACAGACAATGGAAACATCCTAAAATAGTAACAACATTTATCGTATATTTGTATACTTTTCATATTTGTAAATAGTTGAACAACTGGTACACAATCCAAAATAAAAGACTTTATGGGATTTCAAAGTACATACAATTACATTAGTTGCATTCGTTCTATGAACTGCCTCCAGATGGAATTCATCACATGGCTTTGAAATCCCATGAAGTCAACATTGTGAGCCTTACAACACAACTAATTACCTCTTTGAGTTCATCACTATTTAATGTGAATGACAAATTCCAAGTGTCTCTTTCATAAATCTGGTTAAGGAATAAAAGTAATGTCTTGATATAACGTCTTTGAATATTTTTTATAAGACCGTCTATGGCACATTTTGGATGTCAACATTGTCTTTCTTAAGATAAGTTTACAACATACAGTACAACACCTAATACTAATTTTCAAAATAATAACAGTAACATATAAATGGATATTTAATGCAGTATGAAGATAATATTTACCTGGATGGTATTCTTTACAGGAACTGCCAAATACTAAGAAAAATTACAAAGAAAACTATTAGCAATAATTAACAGTACTTACAGTAACTGCAACAGAATGCTGTCAAGAGTGGATTTTTTGTGACTGTGCAACAACATTGATCACAACACAAACACAGCACCTCCACAAAACCTTGCCAGGTAGTGCTTCCAGATGAATATAGGCATTTAAGAATACATCAACATCAACGTCAGGGTACAGTACGGTCACAGCATGAAAGTGCAGTGTTTTTTGCACAATCATACAAAATCCACTCTCTACAGGTACATACAACTTAAAAATAGACATTACAGAAAAAAAAACATTTTTTTTGCAAACAGTCATAAATTTAAAAATGGAATACTGTTAATGTTAAGTTAACCTTTCCATGACCAGGCTGCCAACCAAGTCTGCACAATTTCAAGTGGCTGGATAAAGAGAAAAAATTGAATTAATATTCAACGTACAAAAACTGTACGAGTAATTATTCTATTTTGTGTTTTATCAAGACATAAAAATATGTCCAGGTCGTCCATGGTTTCCCTTATTATGTTGTCATAGCAACTCCTGGCCAAATTTTAATCAACTTTGGACAACCTGGCAATGACGTACAGTATATTCAAATCTCTGGTATATTTACCTGACATCGTTGACCTTAGGGAGTATGTTAAATGTTTTTACAATTGTCTGAAACACAATAAAATCAATTGTTAGTGATTCAGTAATAATGGAAATTTCGTTTTCAACATCATAATCGCTACTTTAAATGTCAATGATAGCATGTACTTTATAATTTACTGCGTCCTTTAATCTTTAGTAATGATAATGATGATGATAATAATTAGAATATTATTGTAAATTATAATGAAACAAACCACTTTTACCTGGTTTTCCATTTTCCACAACCTAACTGTCCCATCGCAACTAGAAGACGCCTAAAAACAACAGATACTTACTGATCAGAATGGAACAGAAATAAAATTAATATTTTTAACTGGATGGCCTTTTCTAGCTATATTCATTATACATTATATATATTCCTTACCAGGAAAACATCCTTAGGATCTAGTGCTACAGAAAGAACTGGTGCATCATGTCCTTTGAAGCATTTTTGTTCATTATCTTCAAGCTTGACTACTTTAATAGCGAAGTCACTACAAACAATATATAAACAAAATAAACAAATCCATTGGGATTGCAATACTTACATTGTAAATTATCTACAAACAGCCGAGTAGAGTCTGTTGTACGAATAGAATAGAATAGAATTTTAATGTGAAGAAACACTTAGCTAAAAAGCTACTTTACAGGTTTTCACAACTTCCATATATGGATGTACATATATGAGGTTACTGATGTACATACAGAAGGCCTGAGAAGGCTCGTTCAAATCCTAATGCTCTTCCTTAAAAAAATCATTTTCATTTTAAGTTTAAGTCTTTGAAAATTTTCTAAGTTCTTATTCACATAAAATGTATGAGAGACCTTCTGTACGAACCCTGTATATGAACATCTGTATATGAAAGTCGTATGACAGATCCTTATCCAACATTCTTACCGGCTGAGCTGACACCAACATGGCTGTCAGTTATTTGAATCTCATGATTGCAAAACAAGCAATCAATGACTTACCTCGAACCAGCTGCAAGGTGTGTTTTTGATTGGCTCAAGCATATGTGATTGACAGTTGAAGTAAACCTTGATATGATTCCATCAGGTGATCCCTAAAATAAACACAACCAAAAGCTATCATTAAAACATTATCACTTCATTTATGTACACTTGTCACGTGACTAGTTGATGACTGTCGAATATTAAGCTTATTAAATCAACAGTTTAATTAAAAAAATCATTAATAGTCATACAGGAAAAAATTACTTTAAATACCTCTGGATATGTGAATGCTTGTACCGCAAAGTTTTCTGGTGTTGCAAATATTCTTTTATCCTTAAAGATCGCAAAAAAAAAAAAATAGGAATATTTGTAAAGTTTATACGATCAAGTGCACCCTACAAGAAATTGTGCAGATCACCTTCATTGTGACGAGAGTAACCGCTTCGCCGGCCTGTATGGACACCGGGTCGCTATCGTCAAACCCTTCATATATCCTGATATCTCCATCAGAGCCACAAGTCAATAGATACCTAAATACGACATGATATTTGAACAAATCAAGAGACATCTTAGAGGGAATTGAACACAAGACTTATAAAACTTACTGCCCAGTTTCATCATAGCAAACATCAGTTTGGCCCTCGCTGTGGGCGAATCTCATGGGTTTTACAACTGCAGGCATCCTTAGGTTTACAGAGCTACGTTTATGGCTGCTTCACAATTATTTTCGCCGACAATAAGAAGATAAATTTGAAGGAGTCCGAAGTGTTTTTCTCTTCCGACGAGTCAACTTTTCCCGCCAAATTATTGAAGTCTACTATGCATGATGGGATAGAAATAAACCTCAGTCTCTCTCTCTCCACAGGAAGCCCAATTATATATCTGAGGTTTTGTTGCCCCGCCACTCCACTGTATTCTTAAAACATTTAAGCCTGAAAAATAGAATTACTCATTGTTTAAAATCCCAGGAGGAGTCAACGTGGTCTGTTCTCCTAAATAACTGTTCTTGTACGAATTTTTTCTTGGGAAAGGGATTTTGATCTGCATTTTTGACAATCTCACACGCAAGTCGGTGGCGCCCTTTCTTCTTTAAAATAATTTTGTTCCTGGAAAACGTTTTTAAGGTCAAAAAATCCTTATATAACGTTTTTATTGTCAAAAACGGCTTATATCATTTTTAGTTAGGAAATTTTTACAAAGTTCCAGGCAAAAATTCTTAGAAAGTATTCCTTGCCTGGAGCCGGTTCTTTTTTTCGTGAATTTCCGGCTGGCAACCAGTTGTGACTTACATCTGGCTGGACATAAGAACAGATATATTATTTTTTAGCAAAAAAAGTTTTTGTTTAAAAAAACTACTACTAACATTATTGAAATGATTCACAGAAATACTGAAAAGGAGTACATTTGCCATCAGAAGCAACTCGTAAAATGGGGACCCTGCACAATGCTTATTCAAGATTTGCCGGAGAAGCTGAGAGTAGAAGAAAATTTCAAAACAGCAGATGGAATGCTCAGTTCATTTTGCTCTAGTAAGTAGCAATTTAGTGAATGATGCTGAACACAGCATGAAAAACTATAGGAACTCAATTTTTGCTTTTATTCCTTTTTTTTTTTTTTCATGCACAAATGTGCCGACATCTATCAATTTATTTTCTGCTCACCATAAGAATCTTATTTGCATTGAATTCGGCACATATTAGACATATCAAACCGCCAGGCCGGCATTTCAACAGCCCCATCGCATAAATATCAACAAATATTGTGTTTTTGAAACATTTATTACTATAATTTATATTCTTGTTTACTTGTTAATTCACCTATTTTTGTTTTTTAGTTTTTTTTGTTTTTGTATCTTGTCTATAAATATAAAACTATATAGTTTCCCTGAACAAAATCAAGCTAAACAAGTGGTATTCAATTAGGCCCACCAGTTGAGCGGAAGCTCGTTTCGGGTCCACCGTGTCTCAAGAAAAAATGCTAATAGTTTACGGTGAATCAAACAAATAATTTCATTATATTATGTTTGCCGTCTCATAAAAATATCCTGTATACTTCATCTATAACACTAAAAACGAAAATTAGCGGTAGTTTCTTGACGATCTTGAGTTCTCGTAGTTCCTTACTAAGACGGGTGATTGCCTTTGCGTAACGTGAATACTTGCTGGTGATTAGTGCTACACTTCGATCGTATACCTCTTCATTATCACCCAGATCTAGCAAAGCGGCCATGCTTTTCAGTATATTTCCTGGCAAATCAACCTGAAAAAATCATTTAATATGAGCAATTAATCGTAAAGTGTGCAAAATCATTAACGCAAACAATTTACGCATTAACTCAAACTCATCCATCAGTGCTAAACGCGCGAAAAGGCCGTGGCTACATCAAAAACGCATCGATTCGGGAAAGCTTTCGGAAGGGTCGACATTGCGAAAACTGTTCTTGTAAATTCAGACCCTTGTGGATACCATTTTTGGCTCAGACAAAGGTTAAACTACTTTGATAGCTTGGATATGGTCAGCGCTGGTGAAAACACCCGGAAAATCGCAGTTGTTGGCGCGCATTTCGATCACTGGTACAAAGCAGGATATTGCAAAATGGAGTGCTGATTTTAAACCAGCTTTCCTATGAGCCTTGCCACTTTCCATTGTGGTGAGAGAAACGTTTCGCAGCCCATAGCATCACGAAACATGATCATAGTAGCTGAAACTAGATGAAAAACGCGAGCGCATACCAACCATGCTGATTCTGATCTGTAGCCAAACAAACAAATGTTAAAAAGATACTTAACGTCTCAAATTCCTCGCCGTTCATAGAATATCTGCTAATGACGAGAATCAGACATTGACTGTGTCAGCGGAGGACTCGATGTTAGTTCTTGTCGTAAGGTGGAAAACAAAAACACTTTAGCGGTCAATCAGAAAATCAGAACTCAAACCGAGTGGTATGATCAATTATGAGATTTCATTGGCTTTGCTCCTCTTCTTGAATTTGAAGACAGAACAAGAGGATTTTGACTAAAGAGGCTCTTCATATTCAGTAGCACGCGGTGTTCGTTTATTTTCAAGCTCTGAGAGACAATAGCCACCAGACTCGAGTCCTATCTACAATTTTCAGTAAGACACAACACACTCCTTTCCTTGGGACTGGACCATCAACAGAGTTCAAAAGAAGGCAAAAGAACAAGCTTTTATAACCTTATCTATTGCCAGTAAGCCAGTAATTTTGGTAAATGCCATCAACACAATGATTTTTCATTCTAATTATAATGTAGCCAGTTCGGGATTGACAGAATTTTAATCCGAATGTTTACAAGGCATTTTGTATATCAACAATATCAGTTTTAACATTCTAATAACTTATTATAATCACTTAAATGAAGAGTTAGATTGTCATTCATATGTTCAGTGGTTCAAAGCAGGTGTCTATATGAACATTCTAATTCATTCAAGTTTTTTGTTGGAAAAACACTAGGAAAAATGCAAGCAAAAGGCCAGTGAAAATAGAGAAAGACCTTACACCTCGTTTCATTAAACTAACGACATCTACAAATAATTATTAATAAGTGTTAGTATAGTATTTACTACCATTAGTATAATCAACTAGTTGTTTTTCTTCAAACTGAACAAATGAAGCAAGGAACACTATTTTTCCTGTTATCTCACACGTGATCATCAAGAACAACTGGTTCAGGAAATAAATTACCCCATATTGTATTCTAACTCCTTTGCGTCGTTGAAAGTATATTATTTTCGAAATGTTTTATTAAATTGTCGATAAAACTTCATATTGATTGTATATAAAAAAATAAAAAAAAAAACATTTCTTCAAAAATTGAAGTCACTGGCGTAAACCACAGCGGTTTGTCATTATTTCGTTCACGCGATTAACCCTTATAGGGTATGCGTCATTGATTGACTGGAATAAAATATTATGACGTCAAAGACATGGGCGTTCACTAATCAATAACTATGTTCATTTGCTTGTGTTCATTATAACAATGTGATAAAAAAGCCACTTTCAATAAATTTATCCGGGTTTGAATGTCATCATTCGAAGAGCTACAGCGGCAGAGAATCTCGTCACATTTGTGATCCCGGACCAAACAAGATAATCCTTATAGCCAAACCATTAAACATTGTTTGGCGACCTCTGAATCATCGGATACATTTTTGGTTGGCCGACCAAGCACGCGAAAAGTTGATATCTTGAATGTGAAAATAACGGTACGTCACAGGCTTTTTTATTCATAACATCTCACTAAAGAATAAAAATTATCATATACTGTAATTATCTATAAAATATCTATATTTCTCCATTACGTAAAGTTGATATTTTCACTAGTGAAATAACATTCGAGGTTTCTCTATATAGTGGAAGTAAGAAAAAAGGTATTTTACGACATAATTTACTTTCGTATGTAATTATATGATAAACAGAATATTACATGGTCGCTTGGAGATACGAATTTTATCTTCTTGTGTTGAAAATTTCGTGTTGAGATCTTTTCAATCGTGTCTTCAAGCGTCCAAGTATATCAATTGCCCTGTGTATCTCTCCGAAACCATGGCGCATCCTTTAGTAGATGACACTATTTCGTGAGCGTTATAGTTGTTAAAGGTAGAGAATCTCATGCTTGGCAGTATATCAACGGATTTAGCTAAAAGCAAATCAGGCGCGCGTCTTTGTAGTCTGCGTCCTGGCCAACGTCTCTGTCGAGTTTTATTCGCGCTATGTTCAAGCTTGTCATCTCTACGAGTTTGCTTATCATATGTACTTGAGTGTTTATATCAGAGGAGAGGAGACATTTGCGGCCGTTTTATATTTCTTAACTAAATAATGCTACTGCGAACAATATAAATAAGGAATTAATAAATTGGTAAATCTATAGTGTTATTTATATTTTATTTTAACAATTTTTCTTACTGAAAATCCAACGCGTACACCATTTAGGTAGAGTTCACACGTACCCGGATATTTTGGAAACCGCGGAATTTCGTATTTGCGCTTACACGAAAACGACCATCGTTTTTAATAAGCACATCCAATTGTTTTAACAAATTTCAGGAATAGAGTCATTGTTTTCGGTGATTTCTTGTTAACGAAAAAATAAAAAATAAAAATATGCGTTTTCGAATAAATCCGTATAAGTGTTAACGTCTTATGCACAATGTAGAAAAGGCAATTTGATGTTCTTGTATTCATGAACTCATCCCAATCTTATATTTTTCAGGAAATCTACTGACCAAAGCTACCCGACTAAGCAATGTTTTCTGCTTCAAACGCAACCAATTCAACGATAAATCAGAGCTCTTCTACGCGAAATACAGTTTCCCCATTGGAAATAATAGCAGTGATTCTAACGGCTTTACCAACAATCATCGGAAATAATTTAATAGTATTTACATTTTTCAAAAATTACAAGATGAGAACGGTGACGAACAACTTTGTAATTAACATGTGCATTGCAGATGTAATGTCGGTAGTGGCTGACATCTTCTTCTTGCTTGTTCAACTTGTGTATAAAGACCTCTTTCACCAGCCAGTGTTTTGTAGAATATCGATTTTTCTCAATCGATTTTTAATGAACGTGGTTGTCGTATCCATGGTGGCTATTTCAGTCGACCGGTACATTAATTTGGTCCAAAACTCATTACGACGCCCGACAAGGAAGCATTTAGTAGTGATACTGAGTTACGTGTGGCTGCACGGGTTCGTTACGTCGCTTCCTTGGGATTTGTTCTTTTCAACGGTGTATTCAGATGTCGCTTTGGAGGTTTGCAAAAGGTTCCCCCAACCGTACTTAGATCCAACTGCTATGACAACTTTATCGTACATCACAAAGACCGTCACAGTACTGCTGCCATATGCTGGAATCATTTGGGTGTTTGCACAAGTGGCGATGTCCGCGCGGAGACGTCGATCCATCCAAGTACAGGACACGGTGTTAGTGAACCCGCAAGCGGCGCGTAAGACTGAACGATTTGCTCTCCATTCCTATGGCCGTGCGACTGTTTCCGCGTTTTTAATATTTTCTTCATTTATAGGTCTCACCCTTCCGTTTTTAGGCACTGTTGCCTGGGCAATGGTCACACAGAAAACAATCTTTTCCCCTTCAATTGATATGATGGTGTTCTTCTTGTTTCGTCTTCAAGGTGCTCTACTTCCAGTTTTGTACTTGTTGCGGAATCGTTTCATCTTCGATTTCTTGAGTAGACGGTGTTTTTGCTTTCGATCAACGGATCGTATTCGGGAAAAGAGGAGCATAAAACGTACTAAACAAACGAATAGATACAAGATATTCTACACAGCCAGGGTGCAAAAAGAGCTGTCCCTCGCCTTTACAGATATCACCACAGTTAAGTTTGAGGAGTTTACAACCCAGACTAAGAACGACTCAAAGGTGATAATAGTGAAAGAGGAATCCACAGCAGATACGGACAGCCCCTCCGATCGATTCAACGACAATGTGTATGCCGTCCACACAGAACCGATTCGATCTGGAATCACCTTGCAGAAAACTCACATAAATAAATTTCTAGAAAAGTAATAGTGATACAGAGCGTTTCATAATAACGATGTTTGTTAAACGTCTTTCCAATGCTGCTGCTCCCAGTCTGTTACAAGAAACTCGGTATATTTTTGTGGGAAAAATGTTATTAAAGCAAAAGCGAAAAAAAAAATGAAAGAGAGAACAATCACTAAGAAAAGGTAATTTTAAGAAAAAGAATGAAATGAACAGTGAAAATGAAATACGGATGAAAGATAAAAGGAATAAAAAAGAAACGACAAGGAAATGAAAAGGACACGATTTTGAGCAATGTCTATTTTAAGCTACAGGATGAAGTAAATTCAGAATTAAATCAGTTTTGAAATTTTAAGTCATGAAATAGTTCTTTAACTGTCTAATGGTCTTAATTCTGTTTAAACGACTTCCTTTTAAGATAATGAATACCTTTTGGATTTCCGTTCCTATCTTGCGAAATGTATCAGCTAAAAGCACATATGAAGCCGGGTCTTTCTGTACGGTGGATTTAAAATTATAACAATTTAAAAAAAATACGAGTAACTCTATGTTAACTTTCGACGAAAAAACATATTCCGCTAGATGCCTATGGCGTTCAAAGGTAGCCGCATGTTTTTTATTTTCTTTTTTGTTGTTGATGCTGTTTTTTTTCTTCCTTAAATATAGCACACATACAATGCGAGCAGATTTTCGAAGAGTTTAAAATAGACACTTCTCGCAGGGTTAACACCTAATATCACCAAAACGACAACTGGAATTCCCCAAGATTGACATTTGCGCAAGCACGTAACTAAATTCGACTTTAAATAAAAATCCTAATTTATCCTAAAATTTTAAAATCCTAAATTACCTATTTACGAAATTACGGAAAACAAGTATCCTTAAAATTTACTCAATATATGATGCAATTTACAAAATTCGTTACGCCTTCAGTCAAAATAATCTGCGCATGCTCAATGGCTGGGCACATCGACTTCCACAGCAATCTCAGCTGACCGAAAGAGAATGCAGGCTCTGGGAACGGAATTGCTTCCATAGTATTTCATAAATGAGCAAAGTGACATACATACCCCTATAACCTCGACACCAGATTTTGATCCAATGTGCTGACGTACTTGCTGTACAACTGGTCCTATTTTAGCCAGCATTTGACTCTCGTAGCGCTTTTTAATATTCCATTGAAGCTTGTCTCGTGTTTGAAACGAGACTTGTAAGTCAGGTCTAGAAGGTTCTGATGATGAAGTTGTTGAGCTACTGGGTTTTGAACTTGATGTAGTCACGTCAGTTGTTTCTGTTCGACTGTTAATTCTCACTTGAAGGTAGTCCAATAAGTCAATTGATGCTACAACAGATTTGGTAACTTTGTCTTTTTCGGTAGAAACGACCTGAAAATATTTAGAAGACTTTTTATTGTATATTGCATACGACTCATTGTAGAAATAGCACGTTTTAGACGGTGCGCCATGAGATGAAAATTCAACATGGCGGCGATAGATTTTTTTTAAATATTTCAATAACTTAACTTAAAAATTTCACATTTTACCAGTGACGATAAAAAGCAAAAAGGAAGAAGGATTTTTTACCATCTTTTTCGTTCAGAATATTTTCATGAAGGTTATTAAACCCGTGAAATAAATAGTTAATTTACTCAGTCTAGCTTCAACCACCACTATCAAAAACAACAGTAACCCACCCTGACAACACCAGGATCCTGTTCTTTTAAAAACACCAAGTGTGGTATTCCTGTCTCTCTGCAGTAGTCCTGCATATCCTCCAGGGTGAACTTTGCCGGTGAATCATACATCAATGTAGCTGGAATGCCCGCTGACCACAGCTCACGTACAATACTCATGCGCTCAGTTAATAGTGACGTCTGACTCGTTGAACAGACCAAAACATCGCATGCGCATGGTAAGTTGAGGGAATCGTCATTGTACACAGCTGACACGATCTTTTCGACAGCAATGCTGACACCAACAGCACCAGGACAATGTTGAGCCTGCGTTCCATGTACAAAGTGTGCAATAAGTTTGTCGTAACGCCCTCCAGCGGCCAAGATATCCCCGAAACCACGCTTCGTCTTACGGTTATCGCTGGCAACCACTTGGAAGAAAATGCCAGAAAACTGATCAATGTCGTAAACAAACGTCGTCTTGACAACAATGGGGAGTTTGACATCAAATGTAGCACAATGAGAGATGACAGATTGGAGTTCTTGGAGCGCCTGCTTTGCTTCCAGGCTCGCTTGCGTGCGTCGTTTAAGAACACCGATGACTTGTTCACGGACTTTATCAACAGTCCCTTCACAGTACAGAAACCCATACAAAGCAGCAATGGAGTGTTCAGACATCATAAGATTTTCAAACAGTTCATTAAGATGTTCGTTCCTTCGTCTTTCTGTCTGCGATTCCCGTAAAATAGTGAACACGTCTTGAAGGCGATTTTCAGGTATACCGTACGTAGTGAAGACCGCCTTCAGTAGGCGCGCGTGATTCATGCGGATAAAGTACTTACGATTGTCAAGCTCAGGGAATTCATGTATGATTTCCGCAACTGTCAGTAGCACCTCAGCGTCAGGTACGTTTCCTTCTGACGTTGGAGAGACAATGTCAAAGGCACATTCATAAAGTTCTTTAGGATGTGCGCCTAAGATCTTTCTATCTCTATACACACAGCCGATATCAAAACGTTTGACGTACGTCACACCACTACGAGCTATGTAACGTGCAAATGGTAAACGTAAATCGTACGGAAGCGTAACGAGTCCACCACTGTATTCCACGACCGATACAGCTGATTCAAACCTGTCCGTAATGTGCGTTCGTGGCAATAGTAAAGGCGTACGTATACGTAAAGCGCCGTGTCCAGTGAAGATTCTTTTAAGGATCTCATGAACGTGCTGTTGCGCAAGGACCGCTTTCGCCCCGGACACGGCTTTGAAGATTTCTATGTCATACGTGACGTCAAACACTGGGGTCACGTGCTGTGAAAACATAGCATCCATAAGTCGCCTGTAACGAGTCGAGTTCGTCGACGAAAGCGTGTGCTTCAAGACCTCGTCAAGTTGATGGTCTTCCAACTTGGGTGGAATAAAGTGGCTTTGTAGGAGTTCTTGAGACGTTGGTCGTTCCTCAGGATCGTGCTTAAGAAGCCAACACAATACAGTTGTCTCTTTGGACATGCGCTTTTTATCAAAGTCATCAGGAAACTTGATTTTACTCTGGAAAATAAACAAATCATATATAAGAATGTGCATCTTGGACATTCCGTAATTTCGGCATGTATACTAATAATAATTATGGGGATCATTAGCATAATGATAAGGGGAGTCCACCCCTAACAATGTTGACTGACAGACTTAATAACCAATGAAACAATGGATATATACCAATAATTGTCGCCGACACATACGTACCGTTCTTATATTTCCCACAGTCTTGACTCGCTCCATTCCTGTAGGTAGTGGTCGATAACACATCTCAAAAAAGATGATCCCTAAGCTGTAAAGGTCCACTTTCTGACTATATTTGAGTCTAGTACTTCCTTGAGCTAGCTCTGGCGCTACGTACAACGCCGTCCCAACTTTACCCGTCATGCCTTCTGCTGTAGTTGAGCTTTCTCCTATATCAGATGCCGAGGGTTCAGTGTGAGGATCAGGTTCGCCTCGTGTTATGCCATGTGTAGTTGCCAAGCCAAAGTCTCCTATTTTGATGTGGCCATGAGCATCAAGAAAGAGATTAACAGGCTTGAGGTCACGGTGGATGATGCCCTATTGACAAAATAAACGCCGCCGGGCGTTATTGATGTGAAATATACAGTCAACCGCAATTGCCATTTAGTTCAGTGTAAACAGCCCTTTTACGGACAGCGATGTTTTGCAGAAAGAGGTCATACCAAAAAACATAGCCCCATAAGAAACCAAAGGAAAGGGTGACGCATGCCTACATGCATGTGCTTAATGTATAGTATATATATGTGTCTCTGTAGCAGACATTTTACCGGTTCGATTGTCTTTGTGCGGGAGACTTTAATTTTTGTAAACGGTTTGACGCAACTCAGTAATTTTACTGCAATGTTTTTCTAAATAAACCAGTCTATCTATCATCTATACATCTATATCTGTCTGCTACGAAAGCTAAATATATAGGTGGCATTGCCGAATCATTAAAAGCACATTAGAAGTGTCCGTGATAAAATGGTGTCCGTAATATAAAGGTTTCCATAATATAAAGATGTCCGCCGTAAGATATGGGTGTTCGTAATATTCAGATGTCCGTAATACAGGGGTTTTCGTAATATAGGGGTTGTCTGTAGTAAATAAGTGTTCTACACAGCCATCCCTGATGGGTTTGATAAGCTTTTTTACAATACCTGTGAGTGTATGTGAGCAAGCCCTTCAACGATCTCCCTCAGTAATCTCCACACTTTGTCTTTGTCTTGGTAAAGTCCTTCGTCGATCAGATAACGTAACGTTCTCTTCTCGCAGTATTCCATCTGGATGTACAAGTGATGCCAGCTTACGTCATCTGTGCTCTCAGTACTAGTACCAACCTGCCAGTCTTGGCCGTCGTCCGAGTCTTCAGTCTGAAAGGATGGAGATATGAAGATCGTCAATAACATTTCCATCCCGCCTTCTATACAGTGGAGGATTTTTGAGAAAAATTAAATTCTCGTACGAAAAATAACAAGTGAATTAGCTAGTTTCCTAATTAATCCGCTAATTGTAGTGGGAAATTTGATACGTTCTCCAAACTAATCCGTCATGCAAGTTTCCCGCCAAAAGTTCGTGCCATTTTAGTGCCACCCCCTGGATCCGCCCCTTCTATGTCAGTTAGAACTATCTACAAGTACGCACGTCTGAATCCAAGAGGTCTCCATACTGTAACAGTGATTCGCCAAAAACAATGCCTTCAGAGGAACCACCTGACTTACTGCTGAAGAAAGAACCTCTTGGAGGGCTCTTTTGTCCGGGGTGACTGTAGCTTTCACCTTATAAACAGAACAAGTCGTGTGACGAATAGAAGTAATTTGACTATATACAAATACTTTACTGTTTCATATGGGCAAGAGGATGAAAGCGATTTGAAGAATGGATGAAGAACTACAATACAAAAGAAAACTACCCAAGAAAAATGCAGCTACAAACTTTGAAAAAGGAAATTAATATATTTTCTCAAAAGAAACCTTTGATGAGGAAACAAAGAAAAATGGGGTGGGCGTTTTCTTCAGTATAATTGAGCTCGTCAAATGGAAGAAAAAGAGTATATACGAAAATCTTAAACTGGACGTACCTTTAGAGGAATCTGAGTCCGAGTCTGAGTCACTTTCCCCATCGTGGTCACTACACCAAGACTCGTCCTGGTCATTGTCAACTGCACTTGGTGCTTCAAACTTATTCATTTTCAGCAGCAAATCCTCGCTGTTTTGCGTGTCAGTAATTGGTGGCTCTTTTTTGACTTGGTCACTTAAACTTTCGTCAGTTTCAGAAGAGGGAACATCGTTCTCGTCAGCTACTTCAAGCCATGAATTGTAATACCTTAATTCAAAAAGTGTTTTAAGTGTTCAATTTGTCCTATGTTTACGGTATGTCCCCGCGTATAAAACAAGTACGTTATCACCTTTTTCCAATATAAATCAAATCATTTATACTTGTCGAATATGACAAAATATGGTAAACTCACTTTCAAAAAATATATTCGAAAGATCAGTAAATTACCTGACAACATTTTCGTGATTGAGCCTCGAGATAAGTTGGACTTCTCTGGCGATTTTACGATTGAGATTGGTGTTTTTGGGATTCCATGGGATTCGCTTAATAGCGTACAAACCACCATCCAGCTTATTTCGTACCTAGAAAATAATAATGCATCATTTAGGAAAACGGCGCACATAGCTAAATGTAGCCCTAATTTAATTCAATATCCAACAAACTATGAGCTATCACAAATCCAGCATTATGATTGGCTACTGAACAATGGCCTATTAATGATAGACCATGCTCGCATTGCATGACGCAAAAGTAGTGGAAAAATTGTTGGAAAAATTGGTCATTTTATACTAAAACAATAAGGCCACTCGGTCTCGTTGAGTTGATAGTCCACTCGACCTCGTGGTCTTATTGATGGGTTAATTCGAAACAGTTAGATATCCATTGAAAATCTAATTAGCCTAGAGCTTCCTTTGAAATGTTAACTAGTGGCAATCAACAGCACTAGTAATAAAAACCTACCTTGATGACATTTCCAAAACCTCCTTTACCAAGAAACTCGAGCTGTTCAAACTCTGTTTTTATGCGGGATTTTCCTGGGACACCAGAAAAGAAGGTAAACTCCGGTATGGGGGCCTGAGGCTCACTAGCATCCGGGACACTAGCTCCTGACGTCTCCTTTTCATTGGAGTCTAAATTGTCATAGTCTTGGTATGGTACGACGAAGGGATAACGAAGAAGTTGATAAGCTGAGAGTCGCTCTTTTTCATTTGAGCTTAGACAACTGAAAAGAAATACATAGTTAAGTGAGGTTGGAAAGGCGTAAAAGGCTACTTGCTGATCGATAAACAAATAAACCAACTTGAGTACAGTAGCTTCAGTAGAACTCATTTTAGTTTATGGATACCGAGAGAGGCTGTAAAGTACTAAAGTCTCCGTGATGCAGAGGTGTCCGTTATATAGAGGTCCCCGTAATACTGAGGTGTCCTACATATAGTGCTATTGGCCGAGGTAGCGTTATGTGGAGGTTTCTGTTACACAGCGGTGTCTATTATATGAATGATATGAGGGTGTCCGAAATGTAGAATCGCACTTATTATTGTCAAGATGACTAGGCCAATAGGCAATGTGCCGTGACGCCATTTTGCGCAGCAAAGCATGATGGTATTGGTAGTCCTCGTACTTATTATAGATCCTAAAATATATCCTTAAAAGCCTTTTTTACGCTTTCTTTGTAGAAACGGCAAAACAATATCTATTTGGGTTTTGAAAAAGCAAAAACATTTCAAAAGGACTGACAACTACCATCATGCTTTGCTGCACAAAATGGCGTCGCTGCAGATTGCTAATTTACTACGTACTAATTGGCATCAGTAAGCATATTTTTTAAACGTTTAATAGTTTTACAACGTGTGTTGTTATCTTACTTGCATACAAAATCCTTAAGATCGTCTGGAGCTGAACGAGGTATTTCGGCCTCTGCAGCTGTTACCAGCTCACCTTTGTACAATGACAGTACTATCAATCCCTTTAGATATGAAAAAACAGCATTATTAGTACACAGTGAGAAAAGAACCTAAACGTATTCACTTTGTAAGCGTTTTCTGGTCTAATCGGTCAAGTGCAAGGAGTCATAGATCCTGTCCTTCTCTTACCACATCGTAAATATCTCCTTTTTTTCCCGATCGAGTTGACAAGACGTTCTGTGAGCCAAGACTTTTATCCACTCCAAAATCCACATGAAGGTCAGCAAGTCTGAAAAGATAACATTAGTGATTTATTAAGAAAGCCATTCATTACTGAGACAAAGTCCCATTGTAATCCAACATTACTGAAAATACTTTTCATCTTTCTACCGCAAAGCATGACGATTAATTCAGTCTGTCGGCTAGTCTACACGCTCACCGTTTTTCTACACTGTAACCAGATAACTTGATATTGCCACTAGAGTCAAGCCAACAGTTAGACAGCTATAAAATACCATTAAACATTATAAAACAATTCACAAACCCTTTGACTGGATCTTATTTGTGATGCAAATGTACAGAAGGGCAACATGAATGGATTAATACAACTAAAAATTATTGTTGGCCCATCAATATTAGTTTGATTGAGCATAGTAAAGGGGTTGATACTTGTTCAAAGTTTGCTGTCCTTCACACTTAACGCAAATTCAGAAATTTATTGGAATATTCTAGAGACCAGTACTAATCACTCCAAGCCTGGTAACTTTAATCATCAGTAATGATTCTGCCAGCCATGTGCCTTGTGATAACTTTCAGACCTTTGTATGTAGTCATTGTTAAAGACAGTCTGTTTCAATCCATATTATAGTTATAACACAGGGGCATATCCAGCCAGTAGGTGCAGGGGGTGTGGTCCCCCTCCTGATACTGTATCTTTTAATACTTTCCTTATTTTGTGTCTTTATGGTAATGCTTTTTGTTGGGTACAACTCCTCCAAGAGCCCTGCACCCCTCACTGAAGAAAATCCTGCATTCACCCATGACTTTCATGTGGAACAATTACCCACCTTAAGATCTTTATGCACCACTGACTTCCCATGAAGATATCTAAGAGCTTCCAGTATTTGAGCAGTATATAGCTTTAACATATCCACAGGGATCCCATTGGGTTTTAACTGACCTTCAAGGTTGCCTCCACCCACGTATTCTTCCAGGATCTGAAAACAATAATAAACCCAAAGATAAAATTGTGCAAGCAAAACTAGCGCATTTTTACTGACTAATTTCCAAACCAAGTTATCACCTCAGTATCTCCTAGCCTTCAAACAGATACCATATATATATGGTATTCTCAGAGTGCTTTCCATTTCAGACGGAACTGGTTGGTCAAACTTGTCCATTTAGAATTCACTGTGATGATTATGATTTACTTACACATATAAAAAATAATATTTTTCACTTTAATTTTCAAATTTTCCTATTATATGTAAAGTTTAAAACACGAGAGAGAGTGTTTTATCAGGTATAAAGATTCAAGCCGGAGGCGAGAATCTTTATACCTGATAAAACACGATCTCGAGTGTTTTAAACGGCTTAAAAAACTCCAACACTAATTTGAAACTCAAATCCGTTAAAATTCCTGGAGAAATAGCCGTACAAATATTTTCAGAGATAAATGGGGCAAACTGATCATGCGCAAATCACTTTACAAAGCACTCTGGTCATCCCACATTGAATACGCCTAAAGTAAAATAGAACTGCTCTTGGCTGTTCACTGAAATCAGTTGACATCCTGCATTGGTCAATGATCAGGTTTCAAACCTGAGACCTTTGCTAGGGTCATGGACCTTTATATCTGATAAAGGTCACCCTTATTAGTATTCTTTATATAAAGAATACTAATAAGGAGTGTTTTATCAGATATAAAGGTCCATGCATGTGACCAAATAGGCTCATTCTATTGGCCTAGTAGCTCATTAATTATGTATGAGTTTTTTAATGATGAATAAAATTCAAAAATTGATTCTTCTCAATAAACAGATCTGATTAATGACGGAATCCTGTTTGGGCCTGTCTACTCGATGCTGACAAATGGAAAGCACTATCAGTCACGTGACTCTCTCTCTCTCTCTCAATATGTTTAGATCAGAGGTTTCAATAATAGCTGGCTACTGTTGTTATAGTACTGCCTATTTTACTTCTTCATCTGTTATTTTGTACCTTAATAAATATGGCTTTAATTTTTTTGGAATACAGGGGCCATCTTCAATCACCCAGACGCTTATTCAAAAAGATAATTAAAGAAACCTCTTCTAGGTGGAATTATATGCATCCAGAACGACAGCAACTAGAGACAGAGTACAGCAAATGAGAGATACCTACTTGTACTGTCACAGAAGACTCAACACTTGTAACTTTAACAGCAAGGAGTTGAACGAGATTAGGATGACTAATTTTGGAGATCAGTGTCGTGATTTCTTGTTCAACACTAGTGACCTGTAAACCCAATTCAAAGATGCATATATATGGTTTACATACATGGTCACATATCTGATTCACAGATTATCATATGGTCTTTACTTAATGCCATAGCAACATTTACCTGCTTTAAAAGTTTTCCAGGCATATCCTGGACAACACCATCTGCCCATTGTAGAGTTTTTCCAGTCTTAGACACCAATGAAGAACCAAATAGCTTCCATTCTTTCATAGTTACAAACTCACCAGTTGTAATATCCAGACCACAATACACCATGCAGCCATTGGACTCAGAGCCTAAAAGTCACAAATATATCCATATAAAACTGGAGTTTCCAAAGTAAAATGATTAGGGAAAAAAAGAACTCACCAAGACATCTGCCACAGTGAACTGTATGTTCTCCTTTATTAACAAATGTTATTGTTCTACTACCCATGTATGTATTGCTCTCAGAACTGCTCTCTGAACTATTTCTCCTACCCCTCCATAAGTTCTTGGCTGAATCTAAGCCTTCTGTTTTACTTTGGTTCACTGATCTTCTGAGATGGCTTGCAGTATCTTTACTAGGACTCATTTCAACATCTTTGTTCTTCTGGTTTTGCACAGTATCCTCTTTGTCAAGACTTCCCTGAATGGAAACCAAAAGCCCAATATATCGATGCATTAAGGTCTGTAAATTTGATTTTTCTGTTGTAAAAGGGTCAAATTTAACCATACCAGGAAACTGGTCCTCTTTTTTCTGTTTTCTTTCATCATTTCTTCTCTCCTTGTCAGTTCTTCCTCAATCTGTCTCTCCTGATGATTACGCAAAAGGTCGAAAATTGACATCATTTCTTATCAAGAATACAGAAACTGCTCTTTGCAATGGTAGATCTAGGATTTTTCAAAATGGGGTCAAGATTTTCCACTTAGCCCTTGCTTTTCATAAATGAATGCTGTTCGTTTGAATGCAGACCAACTTGTCTTATTTTAGTTAAATAAAAATAGATGCTGCTGACCCTGTTTTCTATCCCTGGATCCACCACTGCTTTGTATTCATAAATTGATCAATTAATACTTAGCTTACCTCTTCCTCGCTTATCAGTTTATTAGCTTCTTGCTGTTCTTGAAGCTTTTGCAGCTGTTTTGCTTTTTCTCGCTCCTCTTCTTTCTTTTTATTGGTCATCATTTCGTCATAGAAAGACAAACGAGGTTTGTTGTGGGAATGAAGAAATGACTGCACCAAATGAGCCAAGTGGTGGGTCATCACCTAAGAAATGAAAGAAAAAATGAGAAATGAATGAAAAAATGTAAAGAAATTATAAAATAATTATTTTAAAAGAAATGGTTAAGTAGCCTTCTAGGCATGCATCTTGCTTATTCCAGTTTTTATAGTTTGGGATCCCTGTGGAAAAACTAAGAAAGAGAGGCAACTAGTCCCACTCCCCTACTGATTTAACAAGAGGCCTGTTCTTTTTTAGAAAGGAAAAAGACACCTAGATTGTAGTCTAATGGTTAAGAATTGAAACTGAGAAGTCTTGAAACATTTCATTTGGGGAAATTAAGAAACATAATGTAAATGAAAATATTGGTTCTGCTGTCACATGAGTTTCAAAAACATATTTATTCTAGAGGCAACCCAGTCATTTGACTGTTAAATTGGTTGAGAAGATGACAGTAAATAAATATAAAAAAATCATTATTCTTAACCAACCTCACCAACCAGCTCAGCAGCTTCACATTCTAACTTTACTTGAAGGTCCTGAAGGTTGGTTTTAGAGAGACCAACTGCATTTTGTAAAAAGATTTTAGGGCTCCTAAGGAAATGCAAAATATTATTTACAATTATTAAGAAGTCACTTCCAAACTACAATTTGATATTGAAATAAACAGTTTCAGCAGTAAATCTATTTTACGTACAATTGACATCATGAGAAAATAATAAAAAGAGGGAAATAAGAGAGAGAAAAAAGTATTAGATGTAACTGGATAACTTTGTACTTACTGATTGGGATAGTCTGGTGTATATTGTACAACAAGATCAACTTTGACATGGACATCTTGCTCACGCATACTTTGCAATGGTGTTAGCTTAAGTGCTATCATTGGCAGATCGTCAGGCTATGGAAAAAATGAGTTAAAATTATATAAATTTCACTTCTCAAAATCTTAATTGCCAATAGGAGAAACTTAAAATAACTGGATATAGCCAGCTAACCGTTCAGTAAAATATTTAATAAATGTAAACTACAAATAAATTTGCTTTGCAAATTTGCACTCTACATATTACACACATAGCAAACAATTTTGTGTAAAAATAATAAATGTTAAAAAATTAAATTATTGAGATAAAAGCTATAAATATACTGTGGGGTGCAGCCACAGGTAGCTTTTGGGACTTCCGAAAAAGAAATAGCTCATTGTACATTTTATAGTTAATCGATGGGAAATTCCCCTCGATTAAGTTAACTATGCATACAGTACATTTAAAACAAATATGAAACAAGTTACCAAAATACGCTTAATACTAGAGTGATACGGTAAATTACATGATCAAATTTACGGAAACTACAGCTTGGCGAGCTTGGCCATTAAAATGTAATGTAGTTTGGTACTTTAAGGTTTTCTGTTGTCTCGAAAAATTCCCCTGTCCAAACAGGGGAAACACGTTGGTTAAGCTTAAACAGCTTTTTATTTTGTTATTTTGTTATTTATTTTGTCATTTTCTTAATACCTTTTGTCGAATGTCTTTAAAATCGTCCATGTAAATTGCTTGAAGAGCTTCCAGTTCATTATCGAGCCTTTCAGCTAAACTTTCTTTGTCGTCCATGTTGTGTAAACTTTCAACTAACTTTCGCCCCTTTGTCGCCATGAAGAAGACACGACGAAATCACATGAAACCAGGAACATTTTATCCACGAATAAATACGAGAAAATTGCATAAAAATACACCACCAATAAACATAAGCCTCTTCAGTTTACATTGTGGACACTTTCAAAAAGGTTCAAGAAAGAAACAACAAAAAGAAAACAGTTCGACTTTCGGTCCACCATTTTGATGCACGTCAAAAGACTGGAAATAGTCCACAGGAAGCCCAGTTTTGACCTGCAAGATTAATTGGCAATACCAAGGATCAATTATGATATTTAAAAGTTAACAATAAATTTTATAGACTCTGAACATACTTCATATTCCATCTTTCCTACCCCTCTGAACCTATGGAAAAAATCGCGCAATTTAAATGTTGTAAATTTGATGTAAATATGTAAGTGTCCAAAATGATGCAATTTACATCAAATTTACATCATTTTGGACACTTGCATCATGTAAAACATCAAGTTGACAACCTTTAAAGTGCGCGATTTTTTCCAATGAACTTTATATCAGAAAACAATTGAATTGAATTCCAAAATGTCAAGATCCAGGCAATTGCCTGTAGAAGCAAATTAGATGTATGACCCTAAATGCAAAATATTTGCGAGTCGATCTCACATGGTAACTTTTTTGAAGTCTGCTCTGAGATGATAAAGGAAGAAGACTCTGAAGACTTTCGGAGAACTAACCCTAATTTAATAGAAAAAAGTTACAAACTTTAAAATTTGGGCTTCCTGTGTTTCATAACGTGACCTTTAGAAAGCCGGAAGTCAGTACGAACGTCTTATGACTTGGACGTGCCTGCGTAACAACATACACCTCAAACCATTTATAGCCTGCTTTTACTTTAAATCTATTACTTTGAACTCGTTTTCAAAGTGCATGAGACACATAAAAAGGCCACAGAACACTGTGTAGTTTACAAAGGCCCGTATTGCAAGTCGACCTCATCAAGAGAAATGCATCTCATTGAAGCTGTTGTTTCAATTCTATGGATCGTCGTGACTCCCAGCCTCGCCGTTGAAGAATGCATCCCTAGCAGTTCTTCAGAGTATTCAAGTTGTGCTTGTCAGTTAAAGGATACCAACGACTACATCAATCTCTCTCCATTACAAAACTCTTCTGACGTCCCAAGGTAATTTTAGCCAAATTATGGTAACGATCGATTGTCTTTGTATCCATCATTCAAATGAAATTTCGTTACTTCTGGAAATTCCTGGAATCACTTAACATCGTAGACCTCCAAAACGTGTTTTGTCTCTGTTTATAAATGATATGGTACTTATGCGTTAATCTGAATACACAGCCGTCAGTCACTGTATACTCAGGGCCGTATTAAATACTCAAAATGTGATGGAAATATTCAGAAATGATGAGTATTTTTAGGACCATATAACCTCGATTCCATGTGAACTGAAATAATGCTAATTTTACTCGAGTTTTTATCTGACACATCGGCTAGATTCTTACATTTCTTATCGACCTGAACCTAGTTTGCAGAGTTCTCCGTAACTACTAAAATCTTGAAAATAATGATATCTGATCAATAGAAATAGACGTTATTCCACAGGATGCAATACCATGGTTTCAATCCCTAAGTTTTTGTTCAGTACATCGAAAGCTTTCGCAATAACGAAATGGCAGCATGTTGAAACATCAAAATCATGGCTTGATTTCAACACTGTTAATGGGTGGAAGCGGAGGGGAGGGGTGGGGTGGGAGGTAAGGATCACGAAATGTCCATATGAATCGAAAATGATGTCGAAATACATTTCGATTTCTTTCTTTATATAGTACATTCAACAAAATGAGACTTTTTCATTGGTCGAGAGGATTTTGTTTCACCTAATGTACTATAAACAAAAAAGTCGAACGACCTCTCGCCCTATCGGACTCGTGCAATTGCGAAAAACTTAAACATTACTCCTGACTATTGAGTTCCAAACTGTACTCAAGGTCGTGAGATTTCCTATACTTATACATAGGTTCACAGTGGCAATGACAAATTCTTCACAAGAAGAACAAGGTTGGAAGTTTTCATACAATCCTTGTAAACCTTTTAGCATGTTCCTAGAAGATAATACAACATCGACATGCAAAAATGTTGCAGTGAGTATAAGTCATTTCACAGTTCGTCATTATGAATTGACTCGACAAAATTTCTAGAATAGACATATTTAATACTTCCCAACTCAGAGGGGTACCCAGGAGGGTAAAATGGACAAATTCCACCCCCCCCCCCCCCCCCAAAAAAAAAAAAAAACCTTGCTATTACCCCCGGCTATTCCCTCGCATTGTACTCTGAGGACAGAGCTACTTTTTCTCACCCGCCGAGAAGCGAGAGAAAAATACCGCAATAACGGCATATTTACTCCTTTGCATTTGGGATTTGTTTAGGGTCGATCCACTAGAATTTTGAGGGGGGAGGGTGGAAGATTTTGAAAAATCTTCACTAAAGCTTTTGTAAATTTATAAAAAAAAGTTACAAGCGCGCGACTGAAGTCCATAAAAAAAAATCTTGCACGTACAAAATCTTCCACCCGCACCCCATTAAAAATTCTAATGGATCGCCCCTTATATTATATATTTGAAGTCAGTATCAACTTCCAATTGATTTAATACTGGACCAGAACATGTCTTTATGAACAGAACATGAAATTACGTCAAATTTCGCGCCGCATTAAAATGCCACTCTGATTAATATTCTTGTGCTAAAAAGGTTTCCCGCTGGACAGCTTCTAATCAAGCACCGATAGCGAGAGCTGTATGCCAGGACCTTGGCGAACAAGACACTGTACAGTATGACACTGAATATTATGACTTGTCACCGTATGGACTCGAATCGTCAAACGTAACACTAATATTCACACAAAGGTAGTTCATTGATATGCAATGTGCTGCAACGCATTGATGAATGCATTCAAATGGAAGTGAATGAAGCCCTCGTCCTTTTTTTAAGTCTGCCTAAATTATCACGAAAATGATCCGTTTTCGTGTTTTCTTTGCAAAAATGAGTTTGCTTCAGCACATAAGGAAAGTGAAGCTATTTTTGTATTTTTCGACGTAAAAAGGATCGAGGACTTTCTCCATCGTGCTTTGTTTTGACTTCAAAATAGCGCCGCTGTGCATATTTGGTTGATTAATTATCGTGACAAAATTCACTGAATGGCGATTGATCTTCTACGACACTAAAGCCAATATCACACCAATCTGTCTTCTTCTATTTCAGAAAACTAAGGAATCGAGCGATTATTCACCTCGCATGCAATGCTAACATGAGCAAAGAGGATTCGACTTTCAATTTTATTAAAGAAGACCATTCTCAGCTCAATGACTATGTAAGTCTTCAAATAAATATAGAATGGAGAATTAGGAGGGAGGAGAGAATCCATATCGGGTTTCATCTTGTTTTGTTTTTGTATTTCCCAGTATTTCACTTTGGAAAGTCCTTGTGGTTGCCCTGGTCTTTGCGGAAAACCGTCTTCGCCAGGTATTGGATAACGTACAATTCTGAGTTCTTTAACCAATTCACCGATTGCCCGCATTAAATTTACTATTGTCGTACGCAATTTGACCGTACCCCCCCCCCCCCCCCCCCTCCCCCCCAACGAGTGACCTTAGGAATTTGACTCTTTAAAATTCTTTCACAGAACCCACAGCCAAACCATCCAAAGACGACGGTGATGACAAGTGGATTATCATTGGAGTATCAATCGGAGCTGTCCTCATACTGTTGCTTATTATCTTGGGCGTTGTGTGCTGTAGAAGACGACGAGGATACGCCGCAGTATAGCTGTAATACGGTTCAACCGTTCTTGAGCCTACACCGACTTAAATTAGTGTCAAGATGATAGGATAAAGGAATCGAGATCCGACGTGGTCGAGAAACCATCTCCTGATTTCCCCTTTCAAGCAGTCCTACATGTTCAGACATTATTGACCTTATTTTTATATTTTTCATCAAAAGTAGTTGCCTGTTTTGTTTCTGTTTTTCCTGGCTTTCTCCACAGGAAACACTCTCTCTCTTGACTGATACACAGTCTTCGTCAGTCACGTTGAGGAAGACAGGTAGTCCATGAGTAGAAAGAAGATCGGAAAGAAAGAGAGTGACAACTGTGGAGGAGGCTACACTTACGTTAGCAAAACGGCCAATTATATTCAGTCTCAGCTTTTGGACGAAAATACCCGTCCTACACTACATGACCACACCCATCCAAAGTGTTGCCTCTCAGAGTAAAAACTAAATTTAACGTGAAACAAATTCAGAGAAGTCAAAGTTTATTAAAGTTTGTATACAATTACTCTATAAATAATCGATCTGTTGTTATCAATTTATTATAATACTGGAAAACGTTTTCAAACATTATATTTCTATATTATGTTATTTTACACTAGACTTTAACATTACATTAGACATAAATATTAAGGATGTAATATCAGGGTACACATGATGTATACTCACACCGAAAGTTTGTGTGGATAATAAATTTATATACATGACATTTATATACATTTAATCATTAGACATTTTTATATTGTGTCCATTTTTTGACACATCAATTAGTTTTAATTTCGTGCGTAAAGCGGTGAGCGCAAAATGTCGACCATGCGACGAGTACATTGGGTATTTACAGAAAATAATGGATCATATATCCACCAAAATCACCATGAACATGTAATACAGTATGAAATATCACAAGATTAGTGTAACTATATCTTTCACAAACTACATCAAATCACAACCTCACAAACGTTAGGCGCTTCAAACTGAAAGTGAAACTGAACGGCATCGCTGTCGTATTCTCTCAGTTGCAATGGCTCAAGCTCCTTTAGATTAACGACACCGGCTTTTCTCTTAAGCAGAAGGCAGACCGTAAGGACAATGCTTGTAATCAGAAGAACAAAGCCAAACGTAGTCACTGTGGAAACAATCAACACCAGATTTTCTGAGTCAGGGGGTTCATTTGGATAGCTGCCTTGTGTTTTCTTTCTCGTTAGAGGACCTGAAGCCAAGTGGTAAAGTCTTGACTCGTCGATGATTGTTTTGCCTCTCGATATGTCTCTCTTGACCTGTTTAAAAAAATCGCTTGCTTTTAAGTTCGATTTACGCAATTGAACCTTTTTTCAGTGTGTGAAAACAAATACGTTTTCTCTATATCTACTATTCTTGGTGTGCAACCACATGACAAGGAATCCCCTGAAGAACAAAACTATCGCCGCCATGTTGAATGAATGAACAAGAGAAACTAATGAGGAATGATTTGTGATTTTCATCCAACATGGCGGTGATGACGTAACTTGCACACCACGAATATTTCTGGTACGTCGAAGCCGGGGTGTACGTTGCTGTCACTGATTGCATGCAATCATCAACACGAGCTTTCTATTGGATACGACAACAAAAGGAAGCAATGTATGTGTGTATCCAGGATTTTCATTGGGGGGTCCTTAGCTAACAAATTATCACCATGACGTCATATGACCTTTTTCATTTTAATTGAAACGAAACGGCCCCGAGAAGACGGAAAACTGAATTTCTTAACTGCTTAAATCCACGTTTAGATTTTTTTAGACGGTTAGAATTTAAAAGGGGGGTCACGGGCACCTTGTGACCCCCCCCCCCTGGATACGCCCCTGCAATGTTGTGGATGTTGTCCAAAAAGCAACTATAAAATCAGGTTGTGGCAAGCTTGTGGGCATTCTCGTTAGGAGAATGGCACAACCTCAGCGGTCAACCCCTAAAAATCTAACGACAAAAATCACGCCCTCTTTCACTAATGGAATTCCCAGTTAAAGTTCGATCACAGCATAGTTCTAGAGTTCGATCATAGCATAGTTCTAGAGTACTAACCTTGTTTTTAACACAGCCTCTGGAACACTTGGTTGACTTGGAGGTACTATGACATACCATCAACAGACAATGGAGGTACACAATGGGGTTATCACTGATAAACCGAAACGCATTGATGGTAAAATTCTGAACCCTGTTTGGAGAGTAATTGTAAACCATTGTAGGATCGGTCGGACACCTAGGGAATATAGAAATTAATTACCAATTAATAAACAATTACGACAGGAATAAACTATTAAGTCTTTTTTAAGATTGATTAATGAATATTGATTGCTCATTCTATTTACCAACTCTTTCTCTACGAAAGTCATTTTCTTACCCGTTTTTAAGAAACACGTAGCTTGGAGTACTAGTCTCACTTGTTGTTGTTGTAGCCAAACATTTCTCTGCAAAGACGTGGAGGTCTCCTTTCTCTGAGGCGACACTAAACTGGACATGCACGGGATCGTTGAGCTGCACACTTAGAGGGTAGTCGCTTTGTGTGTAGCTGGTTTTGAAATCTTTCGAACTGAACAAATCCATCGTAAAGGTAAAGTTCCCCAAAGAGCCCTCCGTCGCATCGACTCTTCTGAGAGCTTTAAAACTCGTCATGCTAACCATCTTTCGTCTACCATAGGTGCAGTTGAACGGTAGCGTTAGGTCGTCCTCGCGGGTCACAGAAACGCCTGGAGATGGTGACTTGATATCGAAAGCCCTGACCACGTTTTTGTAAGTTGTGCCATCAGTAGTTTCAACAACACTCGTACCACAGCCATTTAAGGGTGATCTTAACTGGATCACATTACCTGACACAACCGACACACACTTTTTATCTTTCAAATGGAATTTACTTGGGTCAAGAAATGAGTATTTCGTTGCGTTTATGTCGATTTCCATGTTATTCTCCTCGCACAGGATTGTGATTCCGTCTGTGAGGACAGTCTTTCTACCTTTTATGACCTTCAAAGGTTTTGTGGTAGGCCTTTTCGTGGTTTTTGGAGTAGGCTTTGTCGTAGGCTTAATGGTAACTTTGATTGTGGACTTCCTGGTAGTGGTTTTTACAGTAGACTTTTTCGTAGGTTTAGTAATCGTCAGCTCCGTTGYTGGTTTCTTGGGTGTAGKATTTGCAACTGGCTTTGTTATAGGCTTAGCGGTCGATCTGATCGTTACTTTTATAGTAGACTTTTTCGTAGGTTTAGTAATCGTCAGCTCCGTTGCTGGTTTCTTGGGTGTAGTATTTGCAACTGGCTTTGTTATAGGCTTAGCGGTCGATCTGATCGTTACTTTTATAGTAGACTTTGTCGTAGGTTTAATAATTGTCGGCTTCGCCGTTGGTTTCTTGGTTGTAGGTTTTGCAACTGGCTTTGTTATAGGCTTAGCGGTCGATCTGATCGTGGCTTTTGTGTCAGGTATTGTAGGCTTTGCAGTGGGTTTTGTCACAGGTTTAGTAGAAGGTACGCTTGTTGTAGTCAGTCGAGAATCACATAACGATGCTGGAGTCTTATCGGCCAATGTAGGGAACGATTTACAACTAGGATTCGATGTGCCAAAAGTTGATTGCATCAACAGGAATAAGCCAAACAGTAAAACTGCAGTTCCTGCAGTCAGTGACATGTCGGTACTCTTGGTTGATCTCTTCTTCTCCTATACGTCCTTCAACGTTAAGGATTCAATCAATTGCGTAACGCTTAACCGAACATTTGAATATCCCTTGACCCTTAAGAGTGGCAAATATCTTGTACCCCTTGAGAACATCCTGCTTCCCTTGAGGATTACTAATTACAAATGAAATGCCAAATGCCAAAAAGCCATTATGGAATTTTCAACATAAGTGCACTAGGAAAACAATACAAAAATCAAAATCAAAAATCTAAATCTAAATAATCAAAGTAAATAGAAACAACGGTTAATGAAAATCGCTCATTTTATTGCTTTGTGCAGTAGAATTTATGAATGCGTAGTTCGCAAAATATATAAATTGTACTCAGTCAATAACATTAAAAATGAAACGTTCACAATATTCCTTATGACGCAGTCTTTCTGCAAATGCAGAAAGCGATACAAAGCGTTCAGTAAAAGATAGAGATGGGTCTTACAAAACATGGATTGCATGTGATTTATCAGTAAACGTTATGGGGAAATTACGAGCGTTATACGAGCGTTATTTGGCCTTTTATGATATAGATCAATAAAAGGCATGGTTTTCGTACGATATAACTAAAGGGGAGATAGGAAAAATAATAAACGCACAAATATTACCCTTTTATGATTCTCCAGCGATTTGCTTTTGCAAAGTGCTTTATAACTGGTCTAATACAATTCAGTATTAGATAAAAATGCACTTGAGGTGCGCGGCGTGTAAATAAATTTTACTCAAAGATGTACAATATAATTTAGTCAAATCTGCGACTAAGACACACCAAAATATACAGCAATGGTGCAGCAGTTTATTCAAATGTCGAATCTCAAAAGATCAGTTCTTAAATATCCGCCATTATTGGAAAACTCCGCATTCGAGAGGTGATTTGGATTTATACTCGACAAAGTTCACCATCATAATCAAACGCTTAATCAATAGATAGAGACAATGAGGTAAGAGAATCCATACCCCATATAGATTTAATAGATGAGAAATATGAGTTTTACAGATATAGATTTTTCTATTCACAACGAAAGAAACACGAACATTGATTGTTTTCAACGATTCCTATGAGATCCAAAAGATAAAAGACCGGCAGCTATGTTGGAGGAATGAAAATCTTTTGTTGAAGTTCCTCCAAGATGGCCACTGTGACGTCACTTACAAACGAAGAATTGTTGAAATTAGAGCAAATCCTCCGACAGGGATTGGTAAAAAGCTTTAAATAGTTTGTTGCTGATGGACTGGGATCCAGGGATGAATTTGCTCATCTTATTCTTTCTTGCGAAGACCTGAGATATGTAATGTTTACAACATGAGCGGCCGGACTCGAATATTGTAAATTACTTGTGAAACGTTTAGGTGTATACATTCATAACCTACTAAAACGTAAAGATAAAATTGACTTTGGCTAAGAAAATTAGATTTCAAGTTTATGCAAATCAAGACAGTTTTGTATGAAATATTACAACACTCTTCACTATTGTGATTTCTGTTGTGTCTTCCTCATTAATTATTCATGAGTTTTACAAAAAATATTGTACTAAATTCCTACTAAATCCTAACTTTACATTCATGTCATTAACTTAAGTGTTTATCATACCAAAGATTCCTTATACAAGATCACGCAAAGTACAGTCATCAATCAAAATATCACTCCTCACATGACTTATGAATATGACCGTACCTTGGAATATGCTGAGCAAACCTAAGCTATACTATAGTTTTGGCTTTAATGAAATAAAATAAGTCACTAGTGATTGAGTTGAACTTATGCGTAACTAAGCACGAAGAGGCGAGGTGAGGTGAGGTGATTGAGTTGACGATGAGTCGAACCACGCATATTACATCTTTACTTCTTAAAGTTCGGTATGTTTGTTCATCTGCACACCGCTAGTCACATGGAACGTGGAGTCTTTCCACTTTATCCCTGTTGTTCTCTCCAGAACCTCGTTCATCGTCCAACCTTTGGTCGGCAGGCTTGCACGGTCTTTGAAGTTATACAGCGATGTCTTCGGGTTCTCGTACCAGAATCGATCTCCATCTCTTAAGACTCGGAATTGCTCTGCTACAATTCGCGCGAAGGTCTCTCCAACACAACCACCTTCGACGTGATCTTCAGCAAGCCCACCTACCCACAAGTCGACGTCATCGATGCTTNTCGATGCTTGGGTAGACTTTGAACTTTTCCTGGATGTCCTGGTCAGACGTAATTTGTTCAAATGACGTTCTTTTGGACAGTCCTATAGCTTGCCTAACGGTATTATAATCTGGTAGTCCATGGTCTCGTCCACGCTGGATCCCAATGGCTGCCAAATCAAGTCCTTTGGTGTTTGTTCCAAACAAAAAGTTACGGACAGCATCAGTAAATAAGGTATCAACGTTCTGTGCATGTTGCTTCAGCATTCCCCTGATTACAGGCTCAATTCCACCTTCGTGAACTATTCGACCAGGATTGAAGTACGCGTCGCGCAGAGGTAGATGTCCATGTTTTGTCATCTTCCAGTTATTGTCAAGTCTTAGCATCAAGTTACCAATCTGACTATGGCCAAACCTAAACGCTGCAGTAGAAAACTCGTTGAAGATTCCAAACTTGATCGAAGAATTGTAAGCATGGTAAGAACCAAGTTTTTCGAATTCTTTGGTGCCAATTACAGTGGGAAGGAACTCGTTCCAGACAATTTTCTGCCACTTAGCACGTGTAATTGTTCGTGCATACTCGAACAGAGTCTCGTCATCCATGGCGTCCTGGCCGTAATGTTCAACTAACTCGTCGCATATCAGGTTATGCTCTCTTGAAAAGACTGTATGAAGTGTTATGAGGCCTGGCTGCACGTTCACGCGATTGTCACCTGACACTAACATCTTGTCACGTGGGCCATGAAGAAGATTCAAGTTGGGTGCCTGCTTAGTGTTTGGAGGAACGATTTCTCCTCCTTGGTGCAGTAATTTGCCGTTTTTCTTTGTTCGTAGAATGTCTGTGCGTTCTTTTTGAGAGCCATAAACGACTGACAGATCAAGAAATCCGGTGATCTTGTTTACCTATGGGAAAATTCAAAAAAATCTCATTCAATCATAACCTTATAATCTCCAAAAAGGAAAGACCACTTCAATATCATTTCCATTCACGACAACGACTTTTTACCTGTTCCCTTGGAACTCCATGTACTTTTCCTGTGGTCTGCAACTTGGCTGAACGTCTGAATCGCATGATTTCATTTCCAAGTCCATAAGGATCAAACCACGAATCTCCCTTTGGGATGGGTATGCCAAAGTTATCTGCGGTCATAAAGTTTGCATAAGGAGTAGCAAAGTCAAGGTCATGAGCAACAAGTTGTCCAAAATGCATATGGAAATCATTAAGTCCTTCTTTACTGGGGATCTCAAKCCTYTGGTCAAACAGTGCGTTAGACACCTCACGAGGGCCTGGTCGGTYTATGCCTGCTGGCTCATCGAAACCATCCGAATATGCAGGAGGAAGGAGCCTGAGTAGAGGCATCATTGGTTTGCCAAGGTGAGGATCCATAAGACTGTTGCCGACTCCATCGATTGGAGAGTACTTTAACATGGAAAAATCGTGTTCCGACTTAGCCTCTTTGAAAGACTTTTCAACCTGAAATGATCAAAATGGCTTTTTCAGCAAACTAATGAATTAAAGGCGGATGCATGAATGCGTTCTAATTAATGGAAACTTTACGGCAGACTTTGTGTTTCCTTGACGGAAATTGAGGAAAGAGAAAAACTTAGAGTAAAATGTCTTTCTCTTTCTGAACTATCACTAAATATGAGGTCCCACTTAGAAAGACCTCTGAAAAATAGACTCTCAAATTGATACCATTTATCTGACTGACGTAAACATGAAAAGGAGTCCAGAATTCTTTGAGGTAAGTACGAGCTCGATAGCACACAGCATGTGTAAGAAGAAACAMTTACCTTGATTTTTACTTCGGCAACAGATGAAGTAATGCCATCTCCAATCATGTAGGTAAAGGAATCATTTCCATGGAACTCAGCATGTGGGTAATAAAGCACGTGTCTGGGCCCAAACGTAACGTGACCATGTTTTGGAGAGCGCTTGATATCTGTAACAAGAGTTCGTCTACACTCGGAGATTGATTTGTCAGGTGAAGATGTTACTTCCAAAGCGTTTCGTCTTCCGGCAATATCACGAACCGTCAACATGGATCGTCTGGAGACGTTTTCAATTATTCTAGTATTGTTTGTAACTGGCCAATGTACACGCATGGTAAACGTAGATGCTGTTTCAGAACCAAGTCCAAAGTGCGCCGTGTTTTCTCCAAGGCCTGCGAACGATGAAATACTCCTGATCTCTCTCAAGACTTCCTTGCTCATTCGAGGGGAGTACAAGTACACACGAGCACCAATACTTGGTCGACCGCTGATTGCTTCAATGACGTTCACACGGATAAAGTCATTTTTGTTGCCACCAATGTTGCGGTATAGGATTGGTCTATCTGCATTGTTTACAATGAAGACATCCAAATCGCCATCTTCTTCGTAATCGAATACAAAAAGGCCGCGACCATCTTGCCTGTCTGTTATACCCCGAGTTTCTCCAGTCTCTTCAAAGCGCACCGTGCCATTATTGTCGTCGAAATACTTGTTTTCAAACAACCTGGAGCGCGTGCCGTGCAGGAAATCAGCATCGGTGTTCTCCGGATCGGTAAATCCGTTAGTATGCACAAGGTCTAAATCTCCATCGTTGTCAAAGTCGAAGAACGCCGCACCCCACCCCCACTGGCCTATTCGCACTCCTGCTGAATCGGTCTCGTCGGTGAATTTTCTGCTTCCTTTGTTCTTGAAAAGCCTATTACCGGTGTACCCAAATAGGAAGCCTCCTCTCAGGTACACTTCATAGAAGGGCATCATTTGCTCCTTAGTGATATGAATACTTGTCAAGAACCAATCTTGAAGACCATCAAAGTCATAATCAGCGATAGTAGATCCCATTCCATTTTCGTCCGTCCCAATG